GGTCTGTAGTGCCCAGGATGACGGTTTGCTAAAAAGCAGAGTAGACTGAATGGATATGCCTGCATTCAGTAAGACGAGAGCTACTCTCTATGGACAAAAGTATTGGGACACCTGACCATTACACCCACAGGAACTTGTATACATTCCTATTCTAAATCAGTTTCAGTTTCAGCATCAGTACGGACTTGGTGCCCCCTTTTGTAACTGCCACTCTTCTGGGAAGGCTTTCCACAAGATTTTGGAGTGTGTCTGTGGGGATTTTTGCCCATTCATCCAGAAGAGCATTTGTGAGGTCAGACTTTGATGTTGGACATGAAGGCCTGACTCACAATCTCTGTTCTAGTTCATCCCAGAGATGTTCGATAGAGTTGAGGTCAGGGCTCTGCAGACCAGTCAAGTCCTTCAACGCCAAACGCATCCAACCATGCCTTTATGGACCTTGCATTGTGCACTGGGGCACAGTCATGATGGAACAGAAAAGGGTCTTCCCTAAACTGTTCCCACAAAGTTGGAAGCAAAGAATTGTCAAAATGTCTTGGCATGCCTATCGACTGTACTGAAATGCTAACAAACGTTATTAATATTTTTATCAAAGTGATTTTATGTCTAGATATTTTTTTAATGGTTGGAAACTTGTATATTAATACAATTAAGTTGTTTCAGGCCAGAATTTTTTTTTGTTAAGATGTTTCTTATTGAAACTTTTGAAATTTGGAAACTAGCAGTCAGGTTGATTAGAGGGCAGGGCAAAAAATACATGGCTTTGTGGCTTCTAACGATTCACTACACTTGGCAAATCTTGCAGAAGATAGTTGAGTTGGTATCCATGATAAATGCAAGTTGTACTACCTGATTAAAAGTAAACTTTGAGGAAAAATGTTTACATTTGCAACAACGGATGGTATACATCGCTTAATGATAGGAGCAGGGAACCTGTGTGGAGTTTTGTTAAAGTAACTTATTTTGGATTAATTTAGACTTCTGAATTTGACCAAAATATTCATCCATAAAAATGATGTCTTTAAACAACTGTTGCGCATGTGACTCAAGACTTGGTTTTGGTTAGAAAATTATACATACGTACACCTGATTGGAGCATGTTTCAAGTTCCATTAATATGTTCAAGCTGTTAAAATAGAAGCACATCCAGATGTGATTTATTTTCTTTGTTGTGCTACATGTTCAGCTGACAGAGCATGTCTGATATGTTTATTCTAGACTTGTTTTATTCAGCAATATTCTAGTATTAACAGTATATCTATCTATCTATCTATCTATCTATCTATCTATCTATATCTTAAGGTGCAGTCAGTGTTGCCCAATTACTACTTAAAATGCAACAGTGGCCAGTTTTGATTCTTTTGCCTCCCTGGGGCTGAATTTAGGAGGCTTCATTCTGTGATCTTGATACATTTTCCTACTCTTTGTCCATCTTTAATATGCATTTAAATTAAATTTAAACCTCATTCAAACCCTTGTCAAAATAACTGTTTTATAGGATGGCATCGGGGGTTGTTTCATAAAACACTAAAAATAAAATCAGGCAGTGGTTTTTGGAACAAACTTTCTTTTGCACTGTTTTTTTTCCCCCTTTGCACTAGTAGAGCGCTGAAGTTGCACCCTGCAGGGTTCAAGACACTTTTTCACACTCTCATGCACGGGTGCAGGTTAATTATTTGCACCAGATATGTCTGAATGATATTTTGCAGTCTTGCTTAACGCCTTTAGAAGAGATAAAATAGAAACAATACCAGCAATAAAATAAATTTTAAAAATCTATGTGAGAATATTGTAGTGTGTGTAGCCCTGTAATCAATTGTTTCTTAATTTGTTACCCAACCGGCTGGAAATGTGCATGTTCTTACTGTTCTGCTATATCAATCAATTATAGCAGCAGGCTGAAAACTGGTATGTTCAGTTACAGTGCTGACATTCTTCTGTTCATCTTTTATTGGCCAGTATATTGGTTTGGAATACAACTGAGGTGAAGTACATTTCAGTATGTTTGTTTTCTATGCTAGCCGTCTGGCAAAATTTTGGCTCAAATATAATACTTTAAAGATTTTTTTCCCCTCCTCTTTGCCCTATGAATAATTCTATTCCTCTTAGTTTGAGTAAATAATGATGACTGTGATGTTTCTCCAGGACGGTGTCATTGTAGGAAGGTTTCGGTCATGCTGAATCCAACATTGGAAATCGTTAATGTATACTATCCCAACTTTCCATATGCAACCATTAATGAATGGCAGTGAAGCAGTACACATGCTTCAGACTGCCTTCCGCAGTAACCCTGCTTTATCCTGAACGTTGCCCTGCCTCTCCACTCCTTAGGTTGTCTACAAATGGCAGTTCTTGGAACTAGTCTGTCTGGCTGATGGTTAGTGGTTTCCAGAGAAATGCAAATATTTTCAGTTTTTGATCGTCAGGCTGCGGACAAACTGGTTATTCTGACCATACTAGTGGAATCTTGAATAGTGGATAATGGAAAGAACCTTGAACCCCCCCATGAAGATTACCCACATTAAAATGTTTAAATGGCTTACAACCTTGAAGCATGCTGGAACAGACTATAACAAATTAGTCTACCTCTTGATATGTTTCATAACGCTGAAAGTGTAAAAAGTGAAAAGGGGATGGGGTTGATTTATTTTTCCCCGTCGTTTACATAATAAGTAATGTTCACCCTCTGTACTCGAGCACTGGATGGCTTGTGTATGGAGACGCCCATATGCCTTTATCAAAAGTTTAATAAAAACCAAATGCATTGATGTGTGTGCTGTCTGTGCAGAGTTTGGGACCCATGTCTGGCTTTGCCGTGTGATCGTTCATTGAGCCGATTCCTATATACTCGATTGTCAAATGCATCGGCTGTGCTCTGTGAGTCATCTTCTGCCTTTTTTTTAAAGGAGATTGGCTCCTTCAGATGGAAATTTTTCTTGGCAGTTTTCCCTCAAGAGTCTGCCGCTTGCTCACCCACTCTTCTACCCTCCTGCTCTCTCGCACACACACACGCACACACTCTCTCACTCACTCACTCACTCTCACTCTCTCACTATAATAAAAGCCTTTTACAAATTGAAAGATAAATCCATTTTGTGTCTTTGCCTGCAGCTCTTCCACTATATGGAACAACTGGTTTGTTCCCTCGTCGATGGTAGAAAAAAATATGGTCCTGGGGCCAAAGGCTAAAGTCTCATTTCCTTATGGAACAAGATTATCATCAAAACACATGATGAAATGAAGGCCAATTGTACAGATACACTATCAGTATATTTTTATGTGATTGACACGTTTTCTTCCTAATAGGCATATGGACTGTTCATGTAATGGCCGTTCAAGACTGGTTGTTGTTGCTGTAAATGTCAGCTTTATAAACAAATTATGTTGGGGGGGGGGGCTGAAATGCATGTTTGGTGGCCAAATGCCAAAATGCTTATTTGAAATTGTTGGAAATTCACATGATCACAGACATGTGCTTGAAGGTATATCACTGAGCTGCCCCACGTTTCCGTTCGTCTTTGGAGTGTAATAGTGCACATAATCGTACCAAAAATTTTCGTTACGGGTCTTTCGGTTCGGTACGCATATGTATCGAAAAAATGCAGCAAATGCAGAACCTTTGTGCGTTTCCCCCGAGCAGCATTCGGGAAGGGGCGGATGAAGCCGCGCCACTATGCATGCGCGCGTACATCCTAACGTGAGGCTGCGAGCTGTTAATGTCAATACAAGTAGAGCACAGGTATTTTTATAAATGCTGCACCATAATGGATTTGTATTTTGTTATTCCTTGTATTTTTTGAGACAATATTTGTGTTGCACAGTTCTAATATGAAGCTGAAAGCTGCTAATGTGAATACACTACAGATCATGTACAGTTAATTTTCTAAATGTGCACCTTAATGGATATTTATTTTTATTTACTTGAGACAATATTTATTTTGAATTACTTTAAATTTTAGTGTTTTGTTAGTAGGTTGAAGCAATATTGACAGACACTTTTTATTTAAGACAGTCATACGTTGTTCAGTAAACCATTGTTTAATAAAAAGAAATTAAAAGAAAAAAAGCAATTTATATTTTGTTTCTTTTACCCCCGCTGTACCGAAAATGTTTCGAACCATGACTTCAAAACCGAGGTGTGTTCTGAACAATGATTTTTGTGTACCGTTACACCCCTAGATTTTGGTGCTTTCTATCAAGGGATGGATCGTATTGCGCCTTGGGTCTATCCCAGGAAACCCAGGGCATAATGTGAGGAACACCCTGGATAAGATGCCAGTCCATCACATTTGGTGCCTTCCAAAAATAGCTAATGATCAAGTGGGAAGATCTCCAGTAGGCTTTGGACAGAAATGACTTTTTTCAAATATTCTTAAGAAAGGGAAGTGGAGAAAGTTACTGAGGCTATTGGTGTGTGAAAGCTGGTGTGGAAGCCTCCTGCCAAAGTGTCTCTGTACTGCTCGTGCCTGGAGGGGCTACGGCTCACCGGGGTGGAGGGGCTGCGGCTCACCGGGGTGGAGGGGCGCTCTCTCGACACTGACCCTCTGTCTACATCTGCAGGCACAAAAATGCCATGTCTTCCTCTTGTGTTTGGCAGTTCTTCTAGTAACGGGAGAAAAACTGACAGTATTACAGCCTTGCCTCTCTACTGTAGTGCTGTTATATTTAGACTGTCAGTCTTACCTCTGTGAAGGAAACCAAAATGGTCTCGTTTAGTGCTCGTCTCTGCCCTAAATTACCTGCATCAGCTCTCCTGTAATGACCACCTGCCATGGGATCTGATAAGATTATAAAACAAATGGAACTTAATAGGTATTAAAACCAGGTAAACGAATAACGATATGAACGCTGGATGGTACACCAGAGGGGGAATCACCATAGCACTTGCAGCACTGAGATCCGTGAGGTCGATGGACGGCCAAGCCGTTAACACGTTAGTCGTTGGTGGTGCAGCTTAATAAATGCATACCCCTCCTTTTCTCTCCTTTCTTTGTACCCAGAATGTCACACTACACGGACGAGCCACGCTTCACCATCGAGCAGATCGACCTGCTGCAGCGGCTGCGGCGGACCGGTATGACCAAGCAGGAGATCCTGCACGCGCTCGATACCCTGGATCGCTTGGACCGCGAACATGGGGAGAAGTTTGGCCGGCGGCCCGCCTATGGAGGGGGCGGGGGCGGGGGCGGGGGCGCCGCAGCAGCAGCCAGCAACGCTGCCTCCACCTCGTCCGCCACCCCATCCTCAAATAACACGCCGGCATCTTCCTCCACCGCCACTGCAGCCACGCAGACGCAGTACCGCGGTAGCGCCGGCAGCCTCTCCCCTTCACCCAGCAATAGCTACGACACCTCGCCACCCCCGCCGCCGGCCCCGGCCGCCGTCTCCCTCGCCGTGGTGACCCAGAACGGCCGCGACGCCATCTCCGCGGTCCCCAATGGGAAGCTGTCCCCTCCTCGCTACCCGGTCAACAGTGCAGCGGCGCGGGGCTACGGCTTTGAGGCCACGGAGGAGGAGCTGGACATCGACGACAAAGTGGAGGAGCTCATGAGGTCAGTGTGAAGGATGCGGGACAAAATCAAAGCGTTCGCTAACAGAGAACGTGCTAATTGCCATTTGTTAATCATTGAATTGGAAGTGTGACGACATTAAGCCCTTTTCGCCTACAGGGTTATGGGTTCGATTCCTGATCTCGACTCCATAAGTGAGGAGTTAGGGTTCTCTCCCTGTAATCCTGTAAATTTACTCCAAGCACTCCAGTTTCCTCCCACAATCCAAAAACCTGTGGTTAGGAGAATCCCTTCTAAACCTGTTGTGTGTGGGTGTATCCTGAGATGGATTGGCATCGCAGCCAGAATGCCTTCCTGACCCTGCACTGGATGAATGGATGTGGATGGATGTGAATGGATGGGATGTGACGTGATCTGATGTGACGTGATGTTCATATCCACAGTTTCTTTGTCTCCTAGCGGTCAATCATACTATTTATGGTGAAAGAGCTTTTCACAAAAATATAACACATAAATCTTCTAATAAATTCATTACCATTGCTGGGAAAGTGACACTGAACTATATTGTATTACTGCAAATGATACATTATTGCATTTGTGGTACTTATGAATTTTTCTTTTCTAGGAGCAGTTAACAAGATATAATGATTATTTGACCACTGTAGTCAAATATAATATAGAAAATTCATATATTGGTAAATGTGAGGCTTGAAGTATACTTGATAAACTTTCTGTGATCATATTTTATTTATATTAATTAATGTACATTAAAGCTTTTTCTGTATATTTAAATGCCATTTTGTGTCTGCCATCAAATTATTTTCAGTGTTCATAAAATCGTAGTTGGAGTTGAACAGAAAGTACTGAACCTTAAAGTTTCTTTCTCTCGGATTGGCCTCCATCCTGTCCCCAGCTACCTTTTTTGTCTCCTTCTTTTATAATTAATTGGACAGTTCTCTCCTTTTCGTGACACCAGATGGCAGCTGTTACCCACAATCACACCGCAGCTCAGGTGCCCACAGCTCTGGAGTAAAGAGGCAGACAGGGAGATGTTTACATTGTTGCTGCAACTTTTGTACATAGATGTATTTTGGCTGCATTTAAATGGGTTTCATTGGACAAAAAAATGCAGCGTTTGCACATGCAAAACAAATTCGTCCCTGATCTCATTTTAAATATTCATCTTCAAAAGTTATTAAAATGTTACAATTTCGGTCGGTACAAAGTAAAATAAATCATTTTGCCTAATGCGTTTAGATTCTTTACCACACAGAGCTCAGAAATGATGAAAATTATTCTAGAAAAAAAGCTATGAAAACATACCTATAGTGAGTTCCATTATAAAGGTTTAGAAAAACGTGGGTAAGATTCTGGGGTAATCATTTTATTAACGTCTGCTGCTTGTGTGGTGCTGATCTGAATATCCCAGAAAAAGCAGGCTGAGGTGTGTCTTTATGCAGAGTTGTTCTTTTTTTCAAGGGCACTTTACACCCCAGGCTCATTTATGCATAGGGTATTGATTTGATTATGTTGGGGGGAGAGACTTAAGTCAGATTTTGACTGCATTTTGCAAGCACACTTTTAGGCCTGGCTGCTGTTAATTAAAATCAATATAAATGTAAATGAGAGAGCCTAGCTTGCCTGCCTGTTTATCCATTTATTTATTAAATTTGTTTATTTAAAACTTTGAGCAAAAAGGTTGTTGCACATCGAGGTTTGTGATGTAAGTTCATCACACAAGGAGCATGTGGCAGTGTGACAGCAGAGATGGGCGCGGCGGTCTGCACCAGGGGATTCCGTCTCCGAAATGGAGAAGCAACCTGCCATTTGTCTCTGTCTTGTTCATCTTTTGGAAAATGACAAAAAAAAAAGACCTTAGAATAGAAGCGAAGCTGCAGGTCACCCCTGCCTGAGGAAAGGTCTTGAGAACATTGGCCCAGCTTGTCTTGATCGTATCAAAGAATACTTCCATTTTTTTGGTATTAATTTCCCCCCCCCTCTTTTTCATCCTCTTTCCCCAACAGGAGGGACAGTAGCATTATCAAGGAGGAGATCAAAGCCTTCTTGGGCAATCGTCGGATCTCCCAAGCGGTCGTGGCCCAGGTCACAGGTGTGTGTGCGAGATGGAGTCGGTCTCTCTGCAGCTTCACCCGCTTTAAGGATAATATAGTTTAATTAGTTTGCCCGTGTTTGTCCCACTTTTCTAAAAGTCTGGGTAATCTGGTCCCGGCAGGAATTGTTTTTATTTGCTCAACAGACAGCACTATCTAGGGCAGCTTACTTGGCTCACATATTTTCACATTATCCATTTATATACTTGGATATTTGCTGAAGCAATTTAGGTTAGCCCCGAGGGCCGCTGGCTGGATCAAAAAGAGCAACCTTCTGATTATGAGCTCTCTTTCTGCACTGTTACAATTTCACACCCAATTGTCTTCGCCTCGCTCTTCAGGTACAGGCAGTCGCCCGTCGTCCGTGCTTGCGTTCCGCGTGCCTTTCGGCATGGGTGTACACGTACGGATTAATTGGACGTGCGACCGCGTGTGTGCTGCTCGTGTTGCATTCCCCAAATACAGTGCAGCGGCATGTTCCTGTCCACATTCTGACATCAGAAACCGTAGCCGCAAACACGAATATCAAACGTAGCTACATTTTTTTTTTTATAGCAAGTATTTTATCGCAAAGTTATCACGTTGTAGAATGACTTTCTAAGGGCAGAACGGAGATGAATGCATGATTTGCCAAGTGCTGTTCTGGGGTCCTTGTGTTAAAGTTGTTTTTTGCCAAAGCACATTGAACTTCCATTAAAGATTCTTTTTAATATTCTATTTTTTTAATCATGCACATCTTGCAGTAAAAGTGTTGCGTAAAACATAATTTGGCTGCACTTGCCTTTAAGCTGGTCGTCGTTAAGCCAGATAACTTTCGGTTTTATAGCACTTTTTTGAGTTGTAAATGTATTTTATCCCTGGGTGCCCTGTGTATGCTGAGCTAGCGGACCAGCACTGCTGTGTGTGTCTACCTCTGTCTCTTCTCAGATGTGTATTTGGTTATTTACTGATCGCTGTCTGCTGGATCCCCCACCCCAAAGGTATCAGCCAAAGTCGGATCTCCCACTGGCTACTGCAGCAGGGTTCAGACCTCAGCGAGCAAAAGAAGAGGGCCTTCTTTCGCTGGTACCAGATGGAGAAGACCACCCCCGGTAATTCGCACCCCCTTGCCTTTTCCTGGACATCTCGGCTTCTCCGCTCTCCATCCCCCTACTGCTGTTCCACTCTATTGGTCTGTCACGAAAGCGTGAAAGTATGACTTCTCTGTCATTGTCTGTTGTTGTTTCTTTTTCCCCCACTATGAGTCTTTGTTGAATGGTGGGGGGGTGGAAAGCAGACCCCCTTAACAGGGCTCCTTCTGGTGGGAGGCGAGGCGTGTAGCTAGGCTCATAATTTTTTATTGGATTGGGCTGAAAGCTGGTGGACCAGACAGAAAGGACTCCATACCACAGCTGGCCATGCACACGTGCTTTGAAGTCTGGGCGTCGAAAAAACCTTTTCTTTCTCTTGAAAGTATGATTTTTAATAAACCACATTCAAGAAGTGCTGCAGCTTTCTGTGTCTGTCCGTATACATACAAAGGTCATTGGGCCAAGGGGAGATACCATCAGATGTGTATGTGCACCTATAGATCCTCCCCCCTCCCCCCACGTACCTCCCCCCACGTAGTTGTGCTTCATAGTGCTGGCACTGAGCCAAAACCAGCAAAGGCATTTTTCTTCCTCCTTCTAATGAAGGACGGCCAAGTTTCCTTCCAAACTCCCTGGTGGTAGACTGCTTCCATTCCCCTTCCTCCTTCGAGAGTGACGGGGGTCACCTCCGGTTCACAAAGCCCACCGGTTCACAGTACTCAGTCTCCTCTGTCCAGGGTTTGGTTTCTGTTGACAGTTGACGGGTCATTGAATAAGAGGATTGTTCAAACAGTCGAGTTAATGGGCCACAATGGCACTGGGATCCACGGGGCCGTGTGAAAACCGGCAACTGGGGGCTACCCCCGCCCCCCATACAGATGCAGTAAAGTCTTATTAAAAAAAATATCTTTTGATGTATTGACTCTGTAGCGTATAATCCAATAGTTAAAGCACAAACAGAGAGAGGCAGAATAGAGAATACTATATTTCAACCTTGTAAGTCTTAATTGACAAGCACTTAAGTAACTAATCAAGTTAAATCAAGATAAAAGCCCAGTCAGGGAAGGTTGTCAGCTTTTTATGGTGAGAGTTTGTGCGACACAGAACAGTAAATCAGCAGCCCGGTAGCTTGTACATTAACAACCCGGTTATGGTGATGTCCATACTGCAGCAGGGATCTTCAGCCAATTGTGATTGTTGTCTGGTGTGCGTAAGCTACGGATGAGTGTGTCATTTGCCGGAATATGAGCTTTTAATGCACACCCCAGGGGCCACGCTGACCATGCGGCCTGCCCCCATGGCATTGGACGAGGTAGAATGGAGACAGACGCCTCCCCCAATCAGCTCCACACCCGGAAGCTTCCGCCTGCGCAGGGGAAGCCGGTTCACCTGGAGGAAAGAGTGTCTAGCTGTGATGGAGAGGTGAGAAGGCGTGGAGAGATGAACGGGGCAGCCACGGTACGGTGGCCCAAGGTGCAAGGGGAATCTGAGGGTTGGGGTTATTTGCCAAGTAAGGTTTGCGGGCTTTGTGGGTAGAGGATGGCCCGTTCTGGTTAGTGTCAGGTCATCTTCTGTCGGTCGGACATTTAACCTGAGCTGTTCAGTAAAAGCAGCTGCACTGTTTTAAAATCCATGAAGTTGTAAATGTTTTAAATGGAAAATTTACAGCTGAGAACGTCGCCTTCGACAAGGGAATAAACAATAAAAGAGACAAAGATGGGAAAGAGGGAGTGCAGCAGTTGTTAAGGTCAGCCAGTACTTTAGCACTAAATCATGCAAATTACAGAGCCGTGTTTGATTTGATGAAAAGGTCTGATAGTTCTGACTAAAAGGGGAGCCTGTAGCACCAGCTGCGACCTTGACTTCTGGGTATTCAGTGGCCTGATTGCTTTCAAGCTCAGTTCTTGCCACTGTGAGCATTGTTCCACTTGGGGTGCAGGCACAGATGCAGCCAGCCACCCAACACATATAAGATTGATGCTTGCTATTCCGGTCTGCAACTTGTGATGATACATTATCCCTGGCCTTTCATCTGTCACCAAGCTACTTCAACGAGAATCAGTACCCCGATGAAGCGAAGAGGGAGGAGATCGCCAACGCTTGCAATGCCGTCATTCAGAAACCAGGTAAGGATTATAAAAGTGTTTCTGAAATCGTAGCTATAACAACTGTGTCTGAGCCGTTGTTTATAAGTGTTGCTTCAAAATGGTCAGCAAAATAGTTCTTTGAAGTACAAATGTTTTAGCCATACAAGGTTTTATAAACACCTCTTTACTGCGTCCCATTATTGCATATCACAATAACCAAAAGTCTTGTATTTTGTTGGGTTACTTATCGTTAAATTAGTTCTGGGTTAGGGGTACTATACTGTAGTTAGGATTTGGGTTATGCCCATAGAAATGGAGTCCCCCCACAATGATGGGAATAAATGAACGAGGGGTTTTTGTATCTGTGTGTGTCTGGTGGTGGGCGGGGGGTGACAGAGAAAGAGAGAAAATATGAATATCTGTCAGGGAATTTGTGCAAGCTGAGCCGTTTTTTGTCAGTGCTCAGCAATTTCTTCGCTTTCCTGTACCAAAATGCAAAAGTCAGATTTAACAGGCCTGTTTGATATTCTGTCCAGTTCATATTACATAGACTAAACCATGTCTTGTAGTAGTAGTAGCAGTAGTAGTAGTAGCAGCAGCAGTAGTAGTAATAGTACCCCTTTCACCATAAAATTATGTTCATAAATGCATGTTTTTGACTGAATCTGTTCTTGCCCCAGGGAAGAAGCTGTCTGACCTGGAGAGAGTCACTTCCCTCAAGGTCTACAACTGGTTTGCCAATCGGCGAAAGGAGATCAAGAGGAGAGCCAATATTGGTAATGTTTCAGGTTGGGGGAGGGGCTGCCTGTGGAAGACAGAGAGCTTGATCTGATACAGTAACATCTGTCCTTATATATAGGCCCAAGGCAGATATTATTTTTGGAATACAGAGTGCACTGGACTGTTTTGTTTCCTTGATTGTGCAAAGTACTCCTCGTGTTTTGAGTGTACCACAGCTAAGTTTGCTTTTGCGTTCCATTATAACCTCGAGGGTTCTCTAGTGAAGGACTCTGGCATCTGGAAGTAGACGTGGCGCAATTTAGAATCGGAGACGTCAGATCGCCAGCAGAATTGAGCAAGTCGTCCGGCAGTGAGTCTGCGATGTTGCATGCTGCCTCAGATATGTTATGGCGAGGTCTGTTTTTTTCGAAGAAGCAGCAATCCTGGAGAGCCATGGGATAGATATGCAGAGTCCAGGCGGTCACTCTAATAGCGATGACATCGATGGCAACGACTACTCCGAACAGGTAGCTATGGCTACAAGGGTTCAGCAAGGTGTTGGTGGGGGTAGAGCTGGGTGGGGTCAAAACATGTACTGATTATAACAGTGTCCACCACACGGAAGCCTAACCTTTCACATTTCCCCCCTCTTGAAAACCCAAAGCCCGCAGATCAGTCCCTGGAGTCTTTGCTTTGAGAGGGGGGTGGAGGACACTGGTACTGGGGGGCGGGGCGGGGATCCCAAGATGGCCTGGGGGGTGTGTACCCACAGGTGTGATTCCTGACAACTGCGGGAAAACAAATGTGACTTTCATGAAACTATTGCAGGGCTGCGATGTCACCTATTTTGAAAAGAGACCAGCCCCCAGATCCTTTGGTTTCAACAGAATTGACCTGTCATCACCCACACAGGTATGCTAGATAAACACTTAACCCATAAGAGCCGTCGTCGCACACTGTGCTAATCACTGCATAAAGCCAAAACCGAAAATGAAACATCACAAAATTAACACGGAAAATGCTGACTAATAATTGAATGTCGGTTAACTATTTAAGACTGGACTCTTAACTGAGTTTGACTACTGCATACCTTTGTGGGCTTTGACATCGCACCACTAGGTTTTAGGATTATTTTATTCTTTTCAGTAATTTCCCAAGTTTAAATTAATTGTACGATATGGTATCTGGAATTTTTTCTCTCTTGCCTGCAAGAAGCCGTTTGGGGTGGATATTGAAATAACATAACTATGAACGCGCATTCATTCATTTTTGTAAGTTTTTGTTGCATTGCATTTGGGGAAACTAAATCATTTCATATAGCTCTTTATGTATTTTAATTAAATGAGAACAATAGTCAAATGAACTGAGGTTTGAATCATTTTATTAGCAGTTTTCCAGGGCTTCTGGTCTATATTTCCTGACTTGTTTATTAGGTGAGCGGGACAAGTTGTTAATTAGGCCGACGCTCAGAAACTTTGGAGTTTCTGCTCCCTGAATCTTGGCATGTTCATCCCAGCTGTACAGTACAGAGCTGCCACCTGGCGTTTGTGTGAATGTCCAAAGGCCGTAACGGGAAATGTGTTTTAGTGTAATGCTACGTAGACTTCAAGTGAACAGCCACGGCATCACAGGAAGGAAATCAGTCTAAACAAACCACCCTTCTTGCAATTGTAGGTGTCTGCTTTGCCCCCCAGTTGGCTGCCGGCTTGGTCGGGCCTGGCCTAGTGGACGCGCAAGGGGGAGCCTCACAGGGTCACCGTGATGGGGGTGCAGGGCAGGCGGAAGTCCCCAGACTGACCGCTCTCTCCTGGTCTCCCCCCTCCCCCAGGATGACAGCACCAGCCACAGCGACCACCAGGACCCCATCACGCTCGCCGTGGAGATGGCTGCCGTCAACCACAGCATCCTGGCGCTGTCCCGGCAGGGGGGGGGCAGCGGCGGCGGCGCTGGCGACATTAAGACAGAGGTCCTGGATGATGACTGAAGGGGCCCCGGCAGTGGAGTGGGCAGGGTGGGGAGGGGTGTGGTGTGGATGTGTGCGTGCGACAGTGTCCGAGGTCGAGCGAGCGTGCAATGTCGCCTCACGGCAGACGCATTCTGTAATGACCAAATGACTATGCGTAATCCTTAAATGTTAGAAGCTGTCAATCCTTAATTAACCCCCCCTGTTTTATGTCAAAGGTGCCCCTAGTTGCCCATGGCAGGCACCCTCTGCAGGTTAAATGTCTGTAAACCAGAAACATATATGCTTGTGTGCGTTTTAACTAAACGAATATTAGGTTTTTACGAATTCCTCCGTACCTCCCCTAGGCAATGGGTTGTATGCCTTCTTCATTCTTCTCTCCTTACCCAAATGCCTGGCGTAACAAACAACTGTGGACCCCCCCCCGCACCCCTGTCACTGTCCCCAAAACCCATTCCACTCCCCCATCCCCCCCATTGCGTGGGAGGGGCTAAGGGAGAACGCCCCTTCTCTCTACCTCTCTTCCTGTTCTCAGAGCAGCAGTATTATTTGTTGTCGTTCCTCCCCTCAGTGCTGTGCTAGCTATACTAGACACAAGATGGCAACCGTCATATCTCAACAGGACGCGGTACGGTGTGGTGCGTGTGGGGCAGCCTTTATCTCAGATGGTCTCCAAAGGGGGAAGGAGAATAGCCTGGTACAGAGGTTAGGGACACATTCGTGTATTAATGCGTTTTTAGTCGACTGTCTGTAAGGAAACAACGTGAGCACTATAAATCTTTAACATTTCTTTTTATGCCCTATTTTGCATTCCATTATCCAGCAAAACCTGTGAAATACTACAGGGCTGATTTGCCAAAATACAGACTAGAGCTGTTCACCATTACTCCAATCCCCAAATTAGTGTATTTTAAAGAAACAGCAAGGTCCTGGTGTGAAATGGTGAAAGGGCAGGGAGGAGGATCTGTGGGTTTGTGAGATAATATCAGGTCAGGTTGGTAGGGCAGAGTCCACCAACTGAGAGATAATGGTGTGACCAGCGAAGCCACTGGGCAGGGAGGCGACTACATCTGTCACAGCCACTGCAGCAACAGCGGCAGGAGGAGCAGCGCTGTGTACTCCAGCAGGCCGAGGAGGAGCGCTGTGTAAACTCCGTCAGGCCGAGGAGGAGCGCTGTGTATACTCCGTCAGGCCGAGGAGGAGCGCTGTGTATACTCCGTCAGGCCGAGGAGAAGCGCTGTGTATACT